TATGACCATTGTTGACACTTATGACTGCTGCAGCATCAGGTGATCAAAATTTGGACAATTGGCAATTGACTTATATCTATGATGTTGTGGTGTCCCGGGGGGGGTCATGTGATCCCCTTTTACAACCTTCTGAGAAGCAAAGTCAATGGGGAAGCCAGATTCACTTAACAACAAGTATTCATAACTTAACAACTGCAGTGATTCACTTAATAACTGTGGTAAGAAAGCTCATAAAATGGGGCAAAACTCACTTACCTTGCTTAGCAACAGAAATGTTGGGCTCAGTTTTGGTCATAGGGTGAGGATATATAAGAATAACACTGCTGGATCATCATAAAGACCTATGTAGTCCACCTTCCTTTGGAATGCCAACAAAAACTCAGAAAAAAGTTCTGAAGATGTTTCTCATCTCTTTCAGTTCCCCAATGAGTGGAGAACCAAGTATGACACTAGAAGCAGCCACTAGCCATTATGATTAACGGTCGTAGGTAACCTCATTTATGATTTGTTATGATGATGATGATGATGATGATGATGATGATTCTGTTACTTTGCATATACACTGACTGCTTTTGGACAAATTTCTTATATGTCTATTCACACTTGGCCAAATAAAGTTTTCTAAAATATGTTTGGGGATATAGAAGAAAACTATACATAAATAAGGAGCATGCTTTGAAACAGTAAATTCCACAGGTTAACTATATGCCATATGAAATGTGCCCATTTTTGTTTGCAGAGTCTTCCATCATTCAGCATCATGAATGAACGCACACACCCCATCATGTACACTCATGACAACTCCAGCATCCTGAACACCCTTTTCCCAACTATGTACAAGACAGTAACACACTTTCTGCTGTCATTTAAAAATGCATTGTGAATAGGATTGGCTAAGCAAGAAATGTATGTAACCTGTAAGCCTTGTTCAACTTGGAAAGTTACCTCTTATAAAGGCTGTACTTAAAAGCAATGGTAGTCTTTCAGATTGTGCATCCTATTAATTATCTCGAAGGTGCTTTTTTCCTACAAACTTCATCAGTTCTGATGGGGGGGGGATGGAAGGTAGATCAATTCTTCATCAGAACTGATTAAGCTTCTTGGATGAGAAGTGAGACATTTTCTTCTTCTTCCTCAAAGAAAAACCATTCCAGTTGTCTTTTGAAGACAACTATGATCTGGATAATTGAGAATCTCCACGCACATCCTATTAACCACTCATAAAAACTGGGCTCCATCAGGACAACACAACACTTCACCACATATTCTATCCCCTCCAAGGGAAACTTTGGGTAGCTCCATGGCAGTAAATGACACATCTTTTTCTCCACCAGGATAGCTGTACTTCCCTTTCCTCCAATCCTATGCTTCTATCTGGATTTCACCCACTCGCACACATCCCAGTCCATGAATTATGATAAACAACCCAGCATATTGTTCATAAGAAACTTATTGTTTAAATTGCTTCAAGTTTTGTTTTTGTTTTTTTGTCACATCACTGCAATTTTATCACAGCGCCTTTAGCACCTAAAGGTCTACTGTTCTCACAAATGAGACTGCTCTGCATTTTCAGCTGACATATTCCTCAACCCTGTCAAAAGCACTCTTTAAATAATGCATCAGAATGAGCTGGTAGCCTTGGCTTGAGATATACATTTTAGCTATTTTAAGTTTTAGTTTTACTGTCAGAGCTACCCAGCACAGCTTCCAGCTTCTCAGGGATCAGTTCTGTGACACAGTCTCTTAATGAAAGCAACTCCAAAATGAAAGCATGCCTCAGTAGCTCTCAGCTCACTTAAATTGGGAAGGGGGGATAATTATCACTTATTCTTTCACACTCACTCCCAATGATCGTCTTTATAAGAGGGAAGTAGAAAAGGCTTTATCTGAACTCAGATGGAATACTTAGATCTGAAATAATGTTGCTACATGAAAAATAAAATGTAACGCATATGGGACAAAGAGAAGAAATTCAGTTTGCCTTGGTAAATTCTTCTACCTCATCTTGTCTCACTCCTATTTTCTCAGCATCCTTTCTTCAAATTGTCTTGGTCTACATCTCTTCTTCAGTTATCTCCCTAGTCAATGTGAAACATTCCCTGGAATTCATAAAGGCATTTGAGCTCCATTCTCTATTATTATTATTATTTGGTCTGTTTGTTTCTTTATTGCATATCTCAAACTGGCCAAGTGAACTTAAATCTGTATGGTGTATCTACCTCTATGTGCAACCCCATCACTCCTCACACCTTGGGGTGTGTAATATGGGCTTTTTGTCTTCCCAAATTTTTTGAATCTCTACAAAACCTTATATATTGCTTTTATTCCATTTTTAACCACATGCTTCTTCTCTTTTGCAATTTTTTTTAGATTCACGGTGCTTCTACTCTTTAGCACCTTACAATCTCTAAAAAACTATTTTGTCTGATTTGGGACAAGATTGTTTGTGCCTTCAGTGAAAGTTCCGTCTAACCTTATTTGTAGTTCAACATTCTAATCCAGCGTTATCTGGTCATTTTTGTGTGATCAAACTTTTGACATACTTTGGGTCTTTGGGATCAAACAATGTCATCTGCAGAACCAGAATCTGGGCCTTCTCTATCACAACACCCTCCTCTGAATAACTTTCCCTTGGAATTTTTATGGCCTCCATCTTACTTAACTTCAAGGAAGCCCTTAGGTACATTGTTTGGTCAATCCTTTACTTTGGGGTGTTGTGGAAGATTTTTATTTGTTTCCTCAGGACATTTTTTATATATAATGTTTTTTCTTCCTTTTTTGTTTTTGTGAAACTAATCAGAGTTATTTTAGAGCAGAGCAGTCTAAATAGTTGATAAAGTATTTAGGGGAGTGTGGGGGGGTTATTGCTTTTTATTTATTTTTTTCTAAACTGTGTTTTATTGCTTGTAAATCATCTAGAGTCACTATGAGCAAGTAGTAGGATATATTTTTCTAAAAATAAAAAAGGAAGGAAGGAAGGAAGGAAGGAAGGAAGGAAGGAAGGAAGGAAGGAAGGAAGGAAGGAAGGAAGGAAATATATAACACTTGGCCAAATTAAGAGGGAAAATGTTTCAGTGTAGAAGGAATGAGTATTGGGTATATTTGCCACCTTGAATTATTTGTAAAAATAATAAAGGAGGATACAAACAAAGAAACAAATAATTAAATAAATAAATGGATGAATGAATGGATGGATGAATAAAAAATAATAAAAAATGGAGGGAAGTTTTAAATTCTAAGACTATACAAAATGGTGTTTTCACCGATGCATCCTTTCAAAGTTATTTGGGAAGGAAAAAATATCCGCTAACCAAACATTGAGAGTGAAGCAGACATGATATTTATTTGTTTGTTTATCCTATTTAGAGACAACCCATTTCCCTCATAGAGAGGCTTTAGGCAATATTCATAGACATAAAAACATAAAAGCTTTATGGAAATATAATAAAAACCATTAAAAACAAGAATAAAATAATTAAAATTCAGAATTAAATAGGCACGGGCTTCAGGATGCTAACCAGCCCCATGGTTGCATGCCTCTTGAGGCTTCAGGCAAATAAGCAGAGCCAGGCCTTCAAGCATTTCTGAAAGGGCCAGGAGAGTGAGGGGGAGCACCTCATCTCTTGGGGGGGGACAATGTTTCAAATGTCAGGGTTAACAGCAAAGAAGGCTCTCTTCCTGGGCCACAGGAGTCGAAATGACTGGTAAGGTCCACAGCTTATCTTCCTGCTGAATGGATGGGGCAGGTCAATGTAATGGGGTGAAGATGAATCTGTAGGTAATCTGGCCTTGTGCCCTGAAGGCATCCTACTCCAAGGATTCTAGTGCTTGACTAGAAATATCCAAAAAGCTTCTGTACACATAGAGATATATGCATAAACTTCTTCAATCTGCTGGAATGGCCCACTGAGGCCTAGAATTGCCACAAATTGCCTCAGTGCATTACAAAGCAGCTCATTTGAGTGAAATAGGGCTGCCTCACACATACCTACTATTAAATACATGGGCAGTAATAATCTTAACTACCTGTAAGGTTCACCTTAACATAATTCAATACCTTTTTTTTTTTTTGCCCTGGCCCCAGCAACCAGTTCAAAATGCAAGACTATTTCTTAGCCCCCTGGTAGATTATGCTCCCCATTCTTGAGGTGGCTTGATAAAGAAAACATAATATTTCTGATTTGTTTGTGTGTGATACTTCTCTGCAAAGTTACCATGCCCATTGCTGAGTTGTTGTCAAGAGAAGGAGCTTCAGCAAGGCTTGCTTGCTACCTCAGCATCATACAACTTCTGATGAATGGGAAGTTTTGCTTGGAAATTCCATTTTCAGGCTCATAATTTGGTCAGATCTCTAGACTTGATCTCATTGGACTCTAATCTAAAGCTTGGCCCTCTTTGAGTAAAATTACTCCTTTAGTTCATTTTAATGCAACTGAGGTACAAGCCAGCAGACTTATGGCCCCGGGCAGTGGTGGGATTCAGCCAGTTCGCACCAGTTCGGCAGAACCCGTAGCTAATCTTTTTGTTGCCCAGGCCCAGAATGGACTTCCGGAAGTGGCCTCCACACAGAGAACCAATTGTTCACATATTTGAATCCCACCACTGGCCCTGGGTATCTCTTCTGTGGTCATTTTCAGACAGGGAACCAAGAAAGCAGAACTGGTCGCAGCTCCCTGTTAAGTCTGTGCAAAACTAAAAAATCAAAATCTGTACCTTGTGTATAGATTTTTCATCGTTAAAGCTGAGTTTCAAAAAAAAAAAGAATTTAAAAAAAGGGGGGAGGGGAGGCATTTACCACCAACATGCTTGATTTCTCAGACACTTTTTTTTTCCCTCTTCAGAAAGCAAAGCAACAGGAAGTTGAAATAATTTCAGCTCGGCTCATTCCTCTTTCTATTTCCTTTGAAACTTGTACAGTTTCTGAAATTGGGTAGTAAGTTGAACTCAAGGTTTTCATGCTAGGGCCTTGACTCACTCTTTGAATCCTATTTGGTGCTGTGCTGTTACTGATGGGGTGCTGAAGTCCTTTTGACAGGAAGTGGTTTTGCTGTATTTTTCTCCTTGACTGCTTTGTGCTTGCCTTAGATGGAACAAGATGTGTAGCCTTTAGAAGGGGGCCATTTCACATTTCCCGCTTTCTTTTTAAAAAGCTGAAACTGGAGATTGTTGGGGAAGATGAGAAAAACAGCGCACAGCAGAATATAGGTAAGGAAACTTAATTTGCTTCTCAATCCTCATCTGCAACTTGTATGACACAGCCTGGAAGGGAGTAATACCACTCTCCTTTCAGATACAAGCTCTGGCAGAAGATCTGAATATTTGAGTTGGCATTTATACCGGGTGAGCAACTGGGAACATTATCTATCTATCTATCTATCTATCTATCTATCTATCTATCTATCTATCTATCTATCTATCTATCTATCTATCTATCTATCTATCTATCTATCTACCTACCTACCTACCTACCTACCTACCTACCTACCTACCTTCCTACCTATCATCTCTATTTAGTCTATTAATTTTTTATACCACCCATCTCCCTTACAAGCTGATTCTGGGTGGCATAAAATCTTTTATATTTCAAAAGGTGTAATTTTTTCCCCATTAAAAAAAGCAAGCAGTTTGTTCAGGAAGTATGAACAGCAAGTGCTTTTAGTGAGAGGCTAGAGGGGGGATTGAAAGCAAAGGAAATCTCACAGCAATTGAAACACATTATGCTGGGACAATAAAATTACAATTAGTATGTTGGGGGTTGGTTGTCCCACCATTGAGGTTTACTAGAAACGGTAATCAACAGAGGGAATATCAGTAGAAATATATCTGGAATGCTTGTAATGCAGAATGAACAATGGACTTAGCTACAGCAACATGCAATATTTGTCCTAATTTGGTTCTAAATCACCAATGCCTGAAAGTTGAAGCCTTATTGCAAAAGAGATCTTCAAACTGAGGGCAAGTAGGCACAAGTTGGTCCATAGAACTTATGCAGAGATATATTCTGGCATACACTGTAATTTCACCATATTCAGATGGCACCTGTTTGCAGAAAGGTATTTTCAGTACTAACCAGCAACACTTTTCTAAGATTAAAGGACAAACAAGAGTTTTTCACATTATTTAATCTATAATCCCTTAAACCACAGAGAATATAAAAAATGGTCTTGGAATGTAAGAGCAGCAGGGGTTCAACCCTAACCCCTGCCACATACAGGTAATTGAGACCCAAATTTATGTTGCTAAATAAGACAGTTTTTAAGTGAAGTTTGCCCCATCTTACAACCTTTCATGCCACAACTGTTAAGTGAATCACTGTAGTTGTTAAGTTAGGAACACAGTTAAGTGAATCTGGCTTCCCCCATTGATTTTGCTTATCAGAAGACCACAAAAGGTGATCACATGAGACTAGGACACTGCAACTGTCATCAATACACGCCAGTTGACAAGCATCCAAATTCTGATAATGTGACCACAGAGATGCTACATAAGTGGGAAAAACGGTCCTAAGTCACATTTTTCAGTGCTGTTGTAAACTTTGAATGGTCACGAAAAAAATGGTTGTAAGTTGAGCACTCCCTGTACATAATACATTGCATGGGCAGGTAGTTCATATGCATGCTGGAGACTTAATAGGCAGGATTCTAACCCTGTAACAACAATAAGGAGAAATCACAATTAGGCCTCCACAATTAGGTCTCCATTTTAATGGGAGCCATCAAAATGGTGTATGTTTTTGGAATATGTTAGTAACATATTAACATATCTGAACCTTAACCTTTTCCCAAGAATTTATTTCACATAGACACAAGGAACGTGTGGTCTAAATCAGGGTTTTCAGACTTTTTCTTTATGAGGAACTATTCATTTTGTAAAAAAATAAATAAATCTCAGAATCCATGATCAGGAGGCAAAGCTCTGGTGTTAGAAAACTGGTTGTAGAGGTATTATTGTCCTTGGTCTCTCACAGAACCTCATTGAGTTCTTGTGGAATAGTTTGAAAAAACATATTTTAGAGTTCCTTCAAATGTTTTACAACTCCAGTATAGAAAAGATGACAGCCAACTTTTTGAGGAGACCAATTACCATAAAAGTAGTTTTTGCTGTCCTGACTGACTGTTCCTTAACACATGAAGCCATTGATTTTATCACATGGGATATTCCAACTCCATATGTTTTGTAAATCATCCATGTTTATTTTTACACTGTTTTAAATATTTGGTAATAATAAATTATTTGTTTAGTGGAAGGCAAGAAAGGCAAATGATAGAACCTGAGTACAGTGTAAGATCACTGCTTTTGTATATGCTTCATGATGTCACAGAGATATATAAAATGATTGGAGCATGTGTCACAATGGCTATGCTGTTGCTTTCTCATTTTGACAGATAGGTGGGTCCTATTGATGACTCTGCAATAGTTAAAGCTACATACATTATGAGGAATCATAGTATGTTCCTTAAAAGATGTAAAGTCCCTTTTAGTTCCAGGTTAAGATTGAGTGATCTTAATAATGTGATCTTAATAAATGTAATTGGTTCACTTCTTGTGTCATTGTCTCTTCATAAAGAAACTACATAGTTCAGTCCACAACACTGAAAAGTCCATGTTGTTTTTATTCTAGTAGATTTCTGAAGCTAAGAAATATTATATCTCCAATGATACTCTTTAAAATTATGAAAATAAAACTATTCATTTTTTTAAACCATGGCTTTGAAAGAGAAATTTAATTATTAACTTCTCAATCTATTTAAAACCTTCAAGAGAACTAAGTATTGAAATTGTTCTCAAATGTTTATATAAATTTTGATATAAGATTTCAGATATATCTTTCCCCACAAATTTAGGGGTATTTTCATCCATTTTTCATCTGGTTGAATTCATACTGCCATGTTTTGTATACATAATAACACTTAGAGAATAAATTAGGAGTTTGAAATATATACCAGAGATCCCTTTGTTTATTTGACTACACATTCACATTTTATGTGGATTTTAGTTTAACATCTTAGTGTTCTCAGTGTGCACATTATTCTTACACTCATGTGCATACACTTATATCTGTCTTTCTTGGCAGTGATGTAACTGGGGGAACTTTGAAAAGTTAGATTTGTCCCTGGTTCTACATGAATTAATATATGAATCCATATTTTCAGAGAAGGTTCCCTGATAGCAGAGATGGAAAGTCAACCATTAACTTCTCTAAAGTTTGTATTTTTTTCCCTGACATGAAAGTACAGGTAATCCTAAACTTACAACCACAATTTGTGCTGTCCCATTCACTCACACGCAGTCGTAACCATGGTTACCCATATCTATCCAAATTAAGTCCAGCCACAAACAGACCAATGCTAGTCCAAAGAGCAATGGCCAATGAGTCCACAAAGCACTTGAAAGTTTCCCAATCAGCATAAACCCACCAGGCAAAATTAAATCCACAATACAAGAGGGCTCACGAGACAAGAAAAGTCCAAAGTTCACAAGGCATGATCCAAGTAAAGGCACAGTGTCAATCAAAAGCAAGGCAGGAATCACGATCAGATAACATGCAGCTAGGAAACAAACACATTGTTCCCAGCATCACCTCCATCTATCTGCCATGCTAAATAGTCAGCTTCTGGTGCAGCCCATCCAGAAGGGTGAGGCTTTCTCCTCATGAGTAGTCTGGCTCACCTTCACTGCTCCTGTCTTTTCTATGCCCTACATATTCTTGGATTAGCTGCAGCTATGTGCTTTCCCCATCTGAGGCCTCAGGGCTCTCCTGCTGCAATTGTGCTTCAGCCAAATCCCTCTCAGACAGCTGCATGGAGACATTGACCAACTCCCTGCCTGACATGCTAGAACGGGTTTATCCTCCTCCGAGCTGACATCTGGAGAGGTATCTGGGGAAGCATCAGGAAGAGTCATCACACAATTGATCCCAAAATTTCCATGGCTAAGCAAGACAATTGTTAAATGAGTTTTGTCCATTTTACCCTTCTTGTCATAGTGGTTATGTGAATCACTGCACTTGTTAAGTTAGTAATATGGTTATTAAATGAATTAGGCTTCCCCATTAACTTTGATTGTCAGAAGATTGCAAAAGGTGATCACATCACCCTGGAATACTACAACCATCATAAATATCTAAATTAAATTTTAATCATGTGATCCTGGGGATGCTCCAATGGTCGTAAGTGTGGAAAATGGTCATAAGTCACTTTTTTCAGTGGGGATGTAACTTTGAATAGTCACTAAATAAATGGTCACAAACAAAAGTCACATGATCAAAATTCAGACACTTGGCAACTGGCAAGTCTTTATGATGGTCACAGTGTCCCAGGATCATATGATGACCTTTTGCGACCTTCTGACAATCAAAGTCAATGGATAAGCCAGATTCACTTAACAACCATGTTACTAACTTGACAACTGCAGTGATTGAGTTAACAACTGTGGCAAGAATGTTCATTAAATGGAGCAAAACTCGTTTAACAACTGTCTCAGTAACAAAAATTGTGGGCTTAATTGTGGTCATAAGTGGAGAAATATCTGTGGAGAAAACAGGTCAGAAGTATTTCTTAAGCCCATGAAGAGGAGATTGTATTAGGAAGAGATTCGGGGTAGCTCCTCCTTGATTCAGTGGGTTATAAGAGGGCTTTTTTCTGACTCAGAGGAACTATAAGACAGAGGGAAAATACGACAAAAACAGATTTGCAAGATTCTGTCCCTAATCTGTCGTAATGAAATTTAGTTCTGCTCTTCTGGTGGAGTCCATTCTTCTTCATAGAGACTGATAAACCCTTTTTCCATTCTCCATACACTGGAATAATAGATTATTATGTTATTGGCAATAAGAAAAGGCAAGGAAAAAAAGGACATAATGGGATTCTTGAATCTTTTAAGATCTTAGCATGTTGAATTACTGTCAACTTTTCAGCAAAAAGCTTGAGACAGGAGCCTCATCAGGAAAAGCCACATTAAAACAACAACAACAACAACAACAACAACAACAACAAAAACAGCTTGTTCAGCTTGAGGAGCGCTTGCATGGATTTGAAAAATGTTGCTCTGTATTTCATCCAGAAGATGGCATTCTTTGCATCCCAATGTCCATCTGTCCTGCAGCTCTTAGGCTTTTCTGATGAATTTCCAACGTAAGCACAAATTGGTCTGACAACCTATAGTTATGAGATCTGACAGATTTAATAATAGCCCAAGGTCCCAAGTAAGAAAAATATCATGCTTGTGATATAAGTAAAATGGTAGAAGCTCAGAAACACTTGATGTGTCAGAGAAAATAGAAGCAGGTTTAGCACTTTTAAACTGCTGAATAGCATCTGAAAATTGAATGAATGTACGTGTTACACACACCTGCTCTGGTAATATTTTAGCAATTTAGTCCACTTCACTAAGCTCCGAATAAAACACTGCCATATTTCCTAGGATGGGAAAAGGAGTCTTTATGGTTAAGATAGTAAACTTTAGGTATAGCCTTTCTTATTGTTAATGAGAGAGCTATGTAACTGAGATTGTTTCCATATGAATAATCTTGAAAGATATTACATCAAAGATTTGCAGTTCAGTTCTTTTTCCTGAGTGACAACTGTGAATTTCTATTATGTCTGCCTCTGAACATTTTGCATTATTTAGACCAGACCAATTATATATATATTGCTATTCCAGGTGTTATTTTGCATTCCCTACTTTTCTTTCTTTCCGGTCTTCTTTCCAGCAAAGACCTTTTTGCACAGAATTGTGCCTGAGTAAATAACTGAAATATCTCAATTTTCATTTCTTGATGGTTTTTACGGGGCTTCTTTTCTCCTGTACCAAGTCTACAACTTCAATATTTTATTTTTATTTTTGATGATTTCAAGTGATTCTCAAGATACACCTTAAAAGCCACACTTCTGCCTGCTTTCAGCCTCCTTGGATACTATACAGGTTTTGCAAATATGCAAATACGAAGGATATAAGATTCCTATTGTTAGTTTGAAGTTTTCTTCCACTGAGTTAGAAAAAAATAATAATGGAAATTTTATTTGCCTTTTTATTTTTCCATGATTAAGTATCCAAAATAAATAACATTTTTGACTAAAATTCAAAAAAAATTGGAAACAACTTTTTTCACCGGACGTGATAACTCTGGACTTTTTTCTGTACAAGCTGCTCTTACACGTACCTAAATATAAGGTGATAAAATCACTGCTTAGGGTCTTGAGCACCTTCTAATCTAAACGATTGTTGATAAAAATACAATATCCTGATCTCCAGCTAATTTGAATTCCCTCTGCATTATAACTGAGCTATTTTAAGTTATTCAAGCCCATTGTGAATGAAATCACATCCCATTATTTTCCCAGTTACTTTATTAAGAATGCAGCAAGCTCTAGTGCTTCTTTCAAATTCTAGGGATTTTTCAAAATTTGCTTAGGTAGTAGTGATTACTACTTTTGTGACTCAACAAGAGGTGTCTCTGTCTCTTTGTCCTTTTTTCCTGGGGCTTAAAAAAACATTAGTGCAATCCAGCACAACAGACCTAAGAAAATATTATTTGTTTTGTGTCCTAAGAATCTAAAAATTTCTGGATTCCATAACTCGTAACAAGTACTGGAAAATAAGGAAGAATGAATTAAACAGAAGAGGTTATCTTTGTTAATCACATATTTAAAGGAGGGTCAAATAAAAAATTGGTACATCATCAAAATATTGCTGAATTATTGACTGAGGAGCTTCTTGTCTGAAGTTAACATTTCCTGTCTAATGCCACTACCAGCATTAAAAGTCCAATTCTAATGTACCACAGCATCATCAGGCTACGTATATATTAAATTGGTTATTATGTATTCTACCTTTACATTATTTTTCTGAATGTCAAAACAAATGTTTTGCAAGTCTATTTTTTAAAAAATAAAATAAAATCAGGATGATCCTTTATGAAGGCCTATATGTAACTTCCACCTTCTGGCACAATTGGTGGAGGCCAAATAAGTCTCTTTCCGCCTTTAAGCAAATCTGAGAGGTCTTTTCTCAGATGTGAGTATGAGAAGACCAAAAGTAAACTCTACTGCCTGCCAGCTGGCTGTAGTAGAAAAGTTACTATAAGATTACAAGACAGAGGAATGGCTATGGAGATAAGAATAATCTTTTATGCAAACTGCACTTTTCCAGGATAGTTTAGATGGCCTGGTGAATAATAAAAGTGCCCAATTGATGCTGTTATTAAGATATCCTGGTATCTTGAGCTATCCTATTGGCTTTACAGTTTTCTCCTTGTTCGCTAAAAGGGATTCCAGGCTGGCTTAGTGCAAAGTGTGTTAAGCATGTTTAACTGTTATATTTTGCAGATTTGACATATTAATCATGCAGCAGTTAGCAGCTTCTGGTCTCAATGTAGGAAAGCTACATCCTTCCTCCGAAAGCACAGGGGCTGTTCAGATGAGGATCAAAAGTCCCAGCAACCCCCATGACAGGTCCAGCCAAAGCAAGTCTCTGGTATTCTCTGAGAATCTGAAAGTCATTGAGTCGGTAAGTACTGATCCCAAATGGCCTTTTAAATTTCTTCACCAGATGCGTGGGCAAAGACGGACATTTTTTTTCTGTTTTTCTTTTTTAATTCAGAGAAGACAATGTTCCCCAATAATATTTCAAGACCAGGTAGATTCCCTGATCAATATTGGGAGCACTGCAATTGGAAAAAAAAGCCCCTTTTAAATAAGGTGACTAACTTTTTTACAATGAAAAGGAGGACACAAATAAATTGAAGGAAAAAAAGTAAATAAAAGAAACATTTTATTCATTGCAACAATAATACAGAATACACTATAATATGATAAATGCATAATAAAAAACATTTGTAACAATAACATTTTATATTGTAATTATGCTTACATGCCGCACCCCCACCCTCAGCCACCCCGCCAGCACTGCTGCCCTGCCATGTAGAGTGGGCCCCATGGCTCCTAAAGCATCAGCTGTGCCAGCTCCGGCCCCAGGGGGCAGCCTGCCATCAACACACCCCGCCTGCAGTCACCCCACCTGCAGCCGCCCCACCAGCACCACCACCCACTCTGCACAGCCCTGTGTAGAGCAGGCCCTGTGGCTCCCACAGCACGGGGGGCAGCCAGCCACCACCGCCTCTCACACCCCCACCCGCAGCAGCTCCGCTGCCCCTGCCTCTTGTGCCTGCAGCCATTATTGCCCTAGCAGGACCGAAGATCAAGAGAAAGTTACCATGGTGTCGCCACTCCAGTCTCCTCCAGGTATCTTCAGGACTAACTAGGAGATGGTGTAGTTAGGTAGCAGGGAGGGGTGCAAAGTTCCTGCCAATTCGCCTTTGCTGCAGACAACTTACATGTGCAAAGTTTGCTGGTCGGGAAAGCAATTCCTATTGGCTTTCAAAAGCCAATAGGGGAAGTAGCACAGGTCATGCAAAAGTTGAAAAAAAAACCATCAAAAAAGGTGCCGGAATGCCATTCTGAGCATTCTATGAGGGAAAAAAAGCCCTGCAGATTAGTCTTCAAATATTGAAAAGGAGGACATGTAGGAGGACACTTTTCGAGGGAGGACAGAACTTACAAAAGGAGGACTGTCCTCCCTAAAGGAGGATGGTTGGTCACCTTATTATAAACATCTGATCTTGTGATTAAATGAAATCACAGAGCCAAAGAGACTGCAGTCACTAGGAGGAGCTTGGCTGAGTGAAAAAGGGGGCACTTACCCATGTGTGTGTGTGGCTCTTCCTGCTACTAAGTAAATGCAAGAACTCCACATTTTACTCCTGAGGATCTTAGACAAATCCTTTCAAAGTGTTTTTAAAGCATATTCTTATACTGTAAAATGAAATCAATTGAAAACTGGTAGAAATAATTACAACCCCCCCCCCCATCATTTTCCACACATTTTTGCTTCCTGTCTTTCACTCATTCTACAGCAATCTGCCTAAAGCAGGGGTAGACAACCTTGGCTCTTTTATGACTTCTGGACTTCAATTCCCAGAATTCCTGAGCCAGCATGGCCTAAAGAAAGGTTTCCAATCTACTATCTGAGAAAACTATAGTATCATTTTTGCAGGCTTCTGGATTAGACCACCTGTGGAATTTTCAATAAAACAAAACCATTGTGGTAATGCTTCTCCTTGTTCTTTCTTAACATGGTGACTTAAAAAGATATGTTGGTTGGCAGTTCTGAGAACAGTAGGAGTGTCCTGGAGAACTATCAGAGTTGTAGTTTCCCATTCATTCCTTGACTTAAGTCATTAACCAAAGCAGCCAAGGCTGTTTTTGTCCTTTAGATTAGAATGGGCGAATTCAAAGTCTATTTAGAATGGAAGGTTTTCTAAAACATTTGTCAGAACTAGATTTTTTTTTCCCCTTAAAGTTCTAATAACTGCTTTTTAGTTGTAGGACGTATATTCCCCACCTATATTCTTTTTATGATCCATACTAAAAGTGGAGTCCAGACTACATAAAGGCCATAAATGAATGGCCACAGATCCCAGGTTGTCTGAAGTTTAGATATTTAGCTAATTGTTTTACTTAGAGTGAGTTCCCCCAAAAGTTCTAAAGGATTATATACACCAGGGGTCTTCAAACTTGGCTCCTTTATGACTTGTGGATTTCAACTCCCAGAATTCCTCAGCCAGCGTGCCTGGCTGAGGAATTCTGGGAGTTGAAATCCACAAGTCATAAAAGGGAGACGTTTGAAGACCCCTGATATAAACTATATATTAGAACAGGGGTCTGCAACCTTGACAACTTTAAGACTTGTGGACTTCAGTTCCCATAATTCTGGGAGCTGAAGTCGACAAGTCTTAAAGTTGTCAAGGTTGAAGACCCCTGCATTAGAGGATATTTAGAAGTGATTGCATAAAAGATCTGAGTCATTTGTTTATTTCAAGTAAATATCAAAATTCAGTTGGAGTACTAGCTAAAATGGAAGGGAATCTTTTTGATGACTTTAAAAAAAATCCTGATTAAACCCTATCATAATGAAATGTGAGATCATTACATTCAAATAAAAATAAAAATAAATACAAAAAGCAAGTTTTCCCCTCCCTCCCCCCCAAAATAAAAGACAGGCCTAAAATTTTAATTCCATTATACATTTCTTTAATACTTATGCCCTGGCCTTTTTTTTTTCATCCTGGTTTGAAAAAGAATGCAAGTTTAATATTTTCCAGATAGTAAAGTTTGGAGTGAGCACCGCAATGGTTGTAGTGACTTAAAACATAAATGTGGAGCCAGGATTGTTCATGTCATGGGGATGCATGGGATTCTGTCTGATTTTTATTTTGTAGAGCTTTTTTTTTTCACCTAAAAATAGCAAGTAAATATGCCATTGATTATCCTCCATCACACCATTGTTGAGAGAGTGGTTAGGATTGTCCAAAAGAAGAACAAGGAGCTTCAGATTTCTCACACCAGACATGATTTTCTTTGGGTGTGACTTACAATCTGTGCTGGCCCTAAAGAAGTGACACATATCCCGGACTTCCGGTTCCGGTTCCTGGCGACTCCGGTCCTGTCTGGAGACTTGTCTCCACCGGCTGGGTTTTTCTTTGCTGGTAGACCCCTTGTGGGTCAAAAGTCGCCCTGGACGGGCAACCACCGAGGAAGAGGCTTACTGGAGACTGCAGGAGGGCGGCAGCTTCTCTTGTGGCTTCAGCTATTTCCTGAAGGCCAACGGAGTAAAAGATCATCCTATAAGATTGCTAATTACCCTGCTGCACCAGCCAAAAGTCACAGCAATATCTAAGCGTGAATAGACCCACCGTGGATGATCTGGGTGAGACCCCTTCTCCTCCTCTTTTCACCCTACTTTGTTCTCTTTTTTTGCCTGTAAAAAGCTCTGTTGGAATCATTTCCCTGTCTTGAAAAAGCAGCTTTGGTATGTGTGGGAAGAAAGGTGCTGAATAAAAAGGTTAAAATAAAAAAGTTTAAAGACTACACTTTATTCTTATCTATTTTGGGGTACAGAAAAAATCTTTTTTTAAGAGCTCTACAATCATATTATACTGGAAGATTGTTTCTTTTTCCATCTTTTTCTCTAAAAGATAGAAAAAGGGGAAAATGGTGTCTGGAAAATTTTTTTTAATTCTATTGAGGTCATCTAGTGGCGAGAAGTTAATATTGCAACTGCTGCTTACTGTTTGGAGATGAGATGGACTTGGCCTTCAAATTACTTTTGAAGAGAAAAGATAAGTGGATGCAGCTGTGGGAACTGTGGGGGTAGATACTGCCTTACTTTTATTAAATACAGCCTCCACTAAAAAAAAGGGCACTCTCTTCAATTATTATTAAAATGGAAAAACCTTATTCACAATTGAACTATAAACTTATATTGGAAAAGATCTACAAAGCTACTGAAGAAATATGTGCTACAATCAAAGGGATTTCTACAGAATTAAGAGTCAGAAGCCATATTCCAAACCTTCAAACTGACTTTCAGACAACATCTGACTATTCTACAAACCAAAACATATTAGAAGAGGATTTAATTGAGACTAAAGAGGAATTTATTTTACCCTACAAGCATTTCATCTATACCTTTGAGGATCAGAAAAATCAAAGACTGAGATTTGAGCCTTTAAAGCAACGAAGTTTCAAGGATAAGAGAAATAGACACCCAATGCAGAGCAATAAAGAGAGACTTATTGGCTGAAAGGGAAGCTTTGTTATGGAAACCTGCCTGGCACAAAAAAAGACCAGAATAAGACTGAAAAGTTAAATTCAAAATTATTTGTGATGGATCAAAGGCACTGTATAATTATGGATTGAGTTAAGGATTAAGATTTGGAGTTAGAAGTAAGAGAAAAATGGGTGATTATTAGAATATATATTTTAAATAGCTTAAGAATGTATTCTTTGGAATAATAGGTTTATTTGTATGAAAACTATTATGTAATGCAGCAGTTCTCAACCTATGGGTCGCGACCCCATTTGGGGTCGATCGACCATTTTTCGGGGGTCGCCAAAGGTGGCGATCCGCCATTTTCTCCCCTCCGGGGGCGCCGCCGCGCATGCGCGCTGCGCATGGGGGTGGCGGCGTGCCTCCGGGGGCGCCGCCGCGCATGCACGCTGCGCATGGGGCGGTGCCGCACATGCAGGCCACGCATGGGGCGGCGCCGCACATGTGTGCCGCGCATGTGGGGGCCCCCGTCCCCATGCGCGCCGCACCGTGCATTCGCATAACATTTGTGTGAGGGGGGTCGCCATCACACAAACGTTGAGAACTGCTGATGTAATGGAATGAAGAAGATTGAAGAGGCATTTTAGATCTGGATTGATTTAATAACTAATTGAATATGTTAAATTAGTAAGATGATGTTTTTTCCTTACAATATGGACGTTATTAGGTATGATAATTAACTGGATGAAATTTGAATTTGGTCCAATGGGCTGAAATGATTTAAGGTTTGATATTACTTTGTTTTTTCGTTATCTTAAAGAGATTGATGGATGGATGGATTATATATGTATAGGATAGACTAATATTTTATTTTAATTAGGAGATATATTGTGTAATGG